CTGTATGGAAGTACGAGGTATTTTTATCCCCTTTTTTGAGCCAGTGCACCCGAGATTTCTGTTGCCAATATTCTTCCTCCGCCTCCCATTGTCTATTCAATTCAACCTCAAGCTCACGGATCACATCCCAATTAATCGGATGCTCCTGCTTAACCCTTTCAATCTCCGCTTGTAAGGTTTTAATATTACGCAGGGAGTTTGTGGTACCTGCCCTGCTCCAATCAAACAATAAATGACGGAGCTTTTTGAGACGCTCCCAAAGTCGAAACATTGGAGTGCCCTGTATTTCCTCCTTCCAGACGTAAGTAACCATGGCTCTGACCTCCGGGTTATCAGCCCAACGAGCGTCAAACCGGAAGAGGGGCCGGCTATTGCGGACATAGGGCTTATCCGACAAAACAATCGCCCTATGATCCGAGCCCTGGTCAGTAAAGTGCTTAAGCAGCGTCTCAGGAAATCTGTCCACCCAGGACTGGGAGCACAGCGCCCTATCCAGCCTCTCCCGAATACAAGCCACCCCCATCCTCTTATTTGTCCAAGTGAAGGGGTCCCCTTGGTACCCTGGGTCAATGAGGCCCACATTCTGAATAAAATTACGGAGACTCAGGGATTGCATAGCGTTCCATTGGTTACCCCCATCCTTTTCACTTTCGTGAAGAGTAGTGTTGAAGTCCCCAATGAGCACAAAGGGTTCCGTGATCCCATTACAAATCTCCTGGAGATTGGCCAATTGGGTGGCTCGAATTGCCGCATGGCAGCTAATGTACACAAACACCACCACATAGGAAAAATTTATTTCATTAATCCGAACGCAAATACAAAAATTTGAATGAAAGAACACCGAGGCAAGAACCTCGGGGGACCAAGCCACAACCAAACCACCAGATGCATCCACCGCATCAACAAAAAAACAACAAGAAGAAATAAACCCTAACCCCCGCATACGACGGGAAACTACTCTCCGTCTCGATCGTGTTTCAGAGAAAAACACGAGATCCGGTTTATTAGAATGAACTAAACCGACAGCAGTTTGGAATGTGAGGGATGGTCCAATGCCTCTCACATTCCAGGCCATTAGCCTCATTTATCTGGGTGGGGCCACTCCAGGCTGGCTACCTCCACCTTATCAGCTTCCTCCTTCTCCTCCACGAACTGTTTTTTAGGGGTTGGGATCTCTGACATCTCGCCATCCAAGTCTTCTAAATTTCTTTTCTTTCCTCCCATCGCTTGAGACGACATATTAGTCCCATACTCATTGATCCCGATTCCAATAGAGAGGCCCGAGTTAGGGGACGGGCTCCCAACCGGATCTGGATCCTTCATATCGAGACCCTTTTCGAAAGCTTGGACCACTAGGTGGACCCTGTTGGCCCGGATTAAGCGCTTTAAGCTGCTTTCCACAACTGGCTCTCGACGTCTAACCTCAAAAGCCTGCTCATCATCCTCCGAGGCCGTTTCCACCGACTCCCTAGACTCAGGCGGGGAGAGGGTTGCCTTTTTTCCTTTGTTCCCAACCTTCCCACACGGCTTATGATACACGCCCTTCCCCTTCTCATTCACCGCCTTTAGCGATTCAGCCATCCCACATTTTTTCGCTTCTGGCCACTCATTATTATTTTGGACAGCCCTCGGACCTTCCTGGTCAGGAGCAATTTGCCTTAGCGGCACTGCATCAATCACCACCTGGCTGGTCACCGGCGGGCAAGGCACCGGCTGGGGAATATCACCAACCTGGAAATCGTCTTCCGATTCCTCCTCCAGCAGCAGGCGGCGTCGCCTTGTCATCCCCACCTCGCCCATACCCGACTCGCCGTGGTGGTCCTGTTTTTCCACTGGACGAGAGCCTCGTCGTCGCGCACTTCCTCCTTGTTTCTCCATCGGCAACTTGCTAGCCCTGCCCTTCCGACTGGGGCGATCACGAGGCGCCACTGCCTCACCATCCACCTCCATTGGGCTACCAGCCCTCTCCTTACGCGGCTTTCCCCGTCGAGCCGTCTTCCCCAGCATTATTTTTGGGGCCTTAGCAACCGGGACTTTCAGCGGGCTCTTCTTCGGACGGTCGCGGCTTTCAGTCGTGATAAACGGCCTCTCCGATGTACCCATCCAGAGAGGATCACTTTCCCTGGCACGCGGCCTGCCCTTCATCGGAATATTTTTCCCCAGCTGTTGCTTTCCACCTGCCTCTTCAGCGATCTCCTCTTTCCCCCCCTGGGCAGAAACATTAACCCAGACAGACCTCGGATTCCGACGAGGCAACTGGTCGGACCCATCACCCTCGAAGATCCTTCGCCCCATACTTTTAGTGGACATATGGGGCCCAAATCTTTCTTTCCTTGCCGGTGGACCAAATCTACAGCTCTGACGCGCATGCCCTACTCTCCCACACTTAAAACAAAAGCTTGGGAGGTATTCATACTTAAAACGAATCCAGAAGCCCCCCGTCTCCGCATTCCGCGCCATAATTTGGGATCGCAAGGGCTGGGAGAAGTCAATCAAGACCTTCACCTTGATGAATTTTTGCGCTGTCTCTGAGCACGAAAACACTCCAGCGTCCAAGACACGGCCAACTGAGGAAGTCGCTATTTTGCGACCAAATTGATGGGTACAGCACTCTTCTTGAACATCCCAGATTTGGACCTTGAACGGCGCAATGGAAAGCTCATCGAAAGTGCGTTGCGAGACAGTTGGCACCCACGCCCTCAAATGGAGTATCCTGTCCGCCACAATCCAAGGGGTTTGTTGGAGCACCCAATTCCTCGCTGCCTCCGTGGGGAGAGTGAATTCGTAGAGCTCATGTGCCAATTGACGCACAATAATATGCCCCTGCCCTTGCCAAGGCCTATTCACCGCATCCCTCAGTTCCGATGGCGTTAGCCGGTCATCAGTGAATAGGCGCCCAATCAGCATTCTCGATCGCCGAATCCGCGTGGCCTGGACCTCTTCAAGGGAGAAGTCCACAACCTGGTCAGTAGGAACACGAGCCATTGGAATAACCTGCATGGGCAACGACGTGTTTTGGTCAGTCACCATGCAACATTCAAAGCCCCCTAGCGACCAAGGGAACTGGGATATAGAAAAGACGATGACGTGCATGGGTGCAGCACCCATCCACAGAGAAACATTAATCTCAGTAGAGAACGTAAACCACCTACCGAAAGAAAGCCGAACTTCTCTCTGCGCAGACCCCTTCGTATGACCCAGATGTTCCTTCAGCTTGAGAGAGTATACAGGAACAGCAGGGTATGGGGGAGGGTTTAAATACCCAAGCGAGAGCTGGCTATTCCCCGGACGAGACCATCCTACTTGGAGAAGGTCTCTGGATTTTAATAACAAGGAATATATTTTATTGGATATTCCTAACTGACGAGCAATCCTTTTAGGATTCTGCCCTATCCGAATATATCGCTTCTGTTGGGCGCCGCAAGAGTGGGTAGGAATCCAATTCCAGCTAGGACTGCTCAGCCGACACAGCCGTGACAACCCCTTACACCGGAAATTGGTCCCCGTCGGCGACCCATGCACGCCGGTCCGACCGGCAACTGGCGGCCCCGCTCGCGCCCTATCCTGGGCTCTGCGCTCCGACGGGAGCACTCCCCTTCCAATATCAGTTTTCACCACCAGTGTGACAAAATCCAAAGACTTCGCATAATACTCTTTCATACCTTCATCTTCACTTGTTCCATCATCCTCACTTGACGATGGAAGGCTGAAAACCCATGGCTTAGAATTGGCCGACCTCGCCCCATGACGGGATCTGAGTCCGGTCCTATCACTCTTGACCTGAGCTTGGAGTCTCTTTCCATGACTAGGGTTTTTGTTGATTTCCCTGGCGAAGCAGCCCCCTTCATCGATGTCGATCTCAATCTCACTCGATGACGGGAGCCTAAAACACCACCCCTTACGTCGTCGACCTCTTTTTGCCGACTGGTCGACCTGCGTGACACATAGGTCCAACTGGCGCCTATCCCTTTTCCGGGCAAGGCGCACGGCGCAATCTCCCACCTGGACTTTGGGATGTCCGTGCCATTGGTGATAAGCGGCTGCCTCCCGATCGGCGTGGATGTCTTGATTTGCTATTGCAACATTCAGCAAGCAGAGTAGCGTCCGGCCGAAAGCCCTCCCGCACGTCCAGAGGATCTGAAGAAAACCCGACCACCAGACATAGATGAGAGAGGAGAGAGCTCCCCGTCCCATTCTTTTTTTTTCAAAGGTCCAAAACCATAAACCTATAGAAAAGCGAAGGGTAGAAATGGGGTATCTTAAATTCTTAATGATCAACGAGTAATTCGTTTGAATGGAGGATTTTAATATTAGAAATTCAAATCTTTCTTTTGAAAAATCAGGAAATTTAAACTTGTAATTTGACCAAAATTTCTTGTTTGGATGTGAATGAGGTATTTGTAAGTGATAATCAGAATTACAAAAATATCTCTGTCATTCTTATGCTTCCGTGTCGTTGTCTTCTTCTTTCTCAATAAGCAAGCACAAACGAAAACAAGCACTAATCTGTGAAGCATATTACTGGAAATGGAACAACAATCGCGACAGGCACAAAATTAAAATAAAAAAGTGAAGTACTCAAAGATGAAAATTGACATGCACAAAAACGACAATCGACGTACCCACGATGAAGGAAGAAGCACCCATACCTAGAACTCTTAATGAAGGAGTTTGAGGCAGAACTTTAAAACCAAGCACGAATCAGAACCTCGAAAACCCTGAAATTGAAACTGCAAAACCAAGCACAAAACAGTCGCCCAAAACCCAGAAATTGAAACCCTTAAAACCCATATTGGGTTGGGTTTGTTTATGGCGGCAGAGTCGATGGATGTTGGGGCTAGCCTGGGTTGACCGTAGTGGCAATCTGCTTGGGTTTGCCTCGGTCGCCGTCGGAAGAGGAAGACAAGTTGGGTTCTACTTGAATTCGCCTCGGTTGATTATAGTGGCGAGCCACTTCGGTTCGCTTGGGTCACCTTCAGAAGAAGAAGAAAAGTTGGGTTATGCTTGGATTCGCCTCGGTTCATTGCAAAGGGATCTGCTTGGGCGCTGGGTTTGCCAGTCGGCGCAGTGGAAGAAAAGTTGTGGTCGGAGGAGTTGAGGAAGAAGGTCGGCAGTGGTGTGGTAATGATAGAAGAAACAGGTAGGAACTAGGAAGGGTAGTAGTTGAAAGAAAAATTAAAATAGTGAGGGATTGCGAAATAGCTTATCCCCATAAGATATTTCGAAATCCTACATTTACAGATTTTCAAAATCTCTCATAATTAAAATCTCTCATATTTTCAGTCTTTCCAAACATAGGATTGTGACCAAATCCGAGAAGGTGAAGGATTGGGACCATATATTGTCCCACAATCCCTGATCCAAACGTCTCCTAAGTAATTTGCATTTCGAAGTTAAGAAAAAGTTAACATCCAGAGACGGAACAGTGGGACGTCAACCTCCTTGATAGTTGTTTCCCGGCTGCTATAGTCGAGACAATTAAGCAAATCTCGTTGAGGGGACGGGGGGAGAAGGATACACTGATTTGGAATTGGAGTCGGGATGGAGACTTTGTGGTGAAGGAAGGTTATAACCAATGGTTGAAGACCTTTAAGTAGAACAAGGTCTTGTCATACATGGGGACGAAAGCACGTGGAAGCATATGTGGGGAATGACAATACCGTCGAAGATTAAAAACTTTATGTGGAGATTCATGAGGAACGCCTTTCCTACAAGAGATCGTGTTAGCGAGAAGAGTACGAGATGGAGTGATAAATGTACCTTTTGTGATATTCGTGATATCCAAATTCACTTATTTGCAGAGCGTCCCTGTACGACAAGATTATGGCGGCAGTCTACACTTTTAGGTTGCTTTGAAGCACGGAGGAGCGACGATTGTTTGGAGTGGGCGCAGCGGGTAATGACTGCGGTGGATGGAGGGACATTTGAGGAGTGGTGCTCTTTGTTGTGGACTTTATGGAAAGAGCGGAACACTCAGTTGTTCAACGGGCAAAAGATGCCAGAAGAAGAGATTGTGACCCGAGCATCTACTTACCTTGCAACCTATAGACAGCAGCAGGGGAATGAACCGATAGCTAGAACACCCCAACTGTTGAAGCGACGAAGAGATGGGAGCGCCCAGGAGATGGGTCCATCTCGATAACCACAGACGTAGGGGTATTCCCGACAGGAGGAGCAGGACTCGGTGTGGTTATTAGAGATGGAAGCGGGCGTTTCATCCTCGCAACTGCGAAGAAAGTTAAAGGGACGTGGACGGCGCTGGTGGCGGAAGCTTTTGCTGCTGATTTTGGAGTGCAGTTGGCCTGACAACTTCAAATGACGCGGCCGATACTGGAATCTGATAGCCAAACCTTGATACAGTTAATGAACAGGGCGGAGCAAGTCCAAACAGAGGAGGGAGTGCTTTGCTGGAGTATCCTCCGCAAACTGGAAGAAATAGATAGGAGCCGATGGAAGTTCATTTATAGGGACGCTAATAAAGCAGCTCATATCATGACACACACTGAGACGAATTGGGATGAGAGTATTGTTTGGCTGGATAGACCACCAACTTTCCTTATTGAGCAGCTTATGGTGGATAATGTAACTGCAAACGCTGATTAATAAAATTTCTTACAGATTTCGATAAAAAAAACATTTACTATTTGGAATGTAATAAAATAATCAAACTTTTAATTGTTAGTTTATTACACCTCTCTAATTCCAATTCTGGACTCGGCCCAAATAAACAAATTAGGAATTCTTGTAGCCCCAAGAGCTATTTGTCGCGTTTTATCTTATGGGCCAGCATTTTGAAGTTTGGAGCGGTTGCATTTGGGTTGGAACTTGGCCGGGCCTGCTTCTACATTTAGCCTCTATATATGAAATTTGTTTGTGCACTTTATTTTCCATATTTTTCACTAAAATTATCAAATTGATACAACACAATGATAATCACACTTATGTCATTCCAAAGTTAATAGGTCCAATTTCCAGTGATATTTTTATCAAAGTCACAATGAAATAATTTAATTTCCACCTAAAACATGTATGTATTTTTTTTTTCATTTATCAACGGCTCTACTAAACTGCTGATATGTCGGACGCGATCACCATCGTCCTTTCCTTTAGAATTGACAAACATTGTGCACGGTTTGAATGCTGCCTACCTATAGCACGAAGTTGACATCCGTAATGGTTGGTCATACAATGCTGGAAGAAATTTTAGAAGCATTGTGTTTTGTAAAGTCGCAAATGCTATATGTTCGCTCAGTCAATAGGGTAGGCTCCTTGTTTTCCTCATCCAGTTTGGATTTTATGTCCTCCTTAGACTTCGAGCATCTCTGATACACTAAACATTCCCTCCATAGACTTTTGAAATATTATTATGCCTATTTCAAAGGAGAGTAATTTGTCACATGATCATGAGTTTGGAAAGAAGAGAAGTATTTTATTCGATGCGAAGAATATAATTTTTTTTATGCGATGAGGAGAGAAATTTTTGGAAGTGGTGTAAGTAGAAGTAAAAATATATTGTGTATTATTTGTAGATAAATTTAAAATTATTGATACTTGGTTCCGCCGCACCGTCACCTCATTCGACGCGTCCGAGCATGTTAGTGGAGAGGTATGAGTTGGTTTGGCTCTTCTTATCCCCTTTTGTGCCAAATTTAGCGCCAAATTCTGAAAATATTGATACTTGATCTCTTTATCTTCCAATTAAGCCGAAATTTCCCCCACTTTGACATTTTGGCAATTCATTGGAGTTAGTCTTACATAATTAACTAGTACATTTGCTGATCCTATGTTTGGCCGACGAATTCAGGACAGGGCTTCATTTTCAACTGGATTATATAGATAAGGACCACCCACAAAATTTCACCTAATTTGCTCAACATTTTTTTGTTTCCTCGTTTGTGTCAATTTATCGATTTCGAAATTAGATGTTTAGCAAAATGACAAGTAACCTAGTTCCTTCGGTGGCTATTCATTGAATTCGATATATCAAAGCGAACGAGTTTTTTTTTTTTGTGTGTGGAAAAAACCCAGAAGTCTTTAGTGACACAAGCAGTAAAGCTCTCTCCACCGACAGAAAAGCAGCCGCTTGCCCATAGACGATGACTTCACCATTGCTCATGGACAATACAGAGGATGACCTCGTGACCCTCCAAGGTCGAAATATAGGACAAATTTGAATATGTGATCATGGGTTCATAGGAAAATAAATTTAGCAAAGATTATGAAACTGCATAGGAAAAACTAGTGGAGGGTATTTTGCACTAAAATTGTAATTCAACTGTTTTTTATATAAAGTGATATAGGGTTTTTTTTTTTGTCATTAAAGTACTAAATAAGAGATTCGAATCTGGGACCTCCAGGTTCTAGATTACCACTAGGCAAATCCCTTGTTCGTAATTTTGCCGTTACTTATGGCTAAAAATCACCTACTAGTAGGTATTTTTATGGTTGAATTGCCAATGCGATATGGTTTAACAAACACAACTTATTATCCCATCCATTTTAGTTTTGTTTGTTTCTTTGTTAGTTTTGTTCATACTTAAACCATCAATTATTCCGTTTGACTAGATAATAAGTCGAGGTCGAGAGTAGTAATAGATCTAGAGGTATACGACTTCGGTCACCACTACACTACTTCGCCGATCTAAGGCACACTTGTCCTAGATTGGAGTAGTTAGCAATGCCGATGATCGATTTTATAAATTGTAAAGCTCGACGCAGCAACGCATCAGTATAGTTAGAGTATGATATAAGCCTACGATCACACTTATTAGATGCACTTCATATATTCAGATGAATCAGAACCATAAATTGTTTTTATTTAGATTAAATAATGAATCGTATAACCAGTTTGGGTTAGAGAATTAAAAATAGGGGTTCATCCCTTACAAGTTATGGGTTCCCCATACTAGAAGTTTATTTTTGAGTTTTTAACCTATTTTGCAGCACTAGCCATAATATGAATCCATGCCGAAGGATAATTTCGCTACGCCAAACCAAATTGTAACATTTATTTAACCCATAAATTCAATATAATATAATCTATTTCTAAATCCAGCTAGCAAACACATAATATCGAAAATCCAACACAAAGTTATAAAATAAAAATGCAAAGAATCCTAAAATCGTAAAAAAATCCAAAATTATACCTAAATGTCTTATTTTTTAAAAAAATTCTACGAGCAAGCAAACCACCCCATTTAATTAGTGACTCCCAATTACCATTCCAAGTTGGAAATCCTAACATACATTCGAAGCCATAATTAACATGACTTTAGACTATTACCATCCAAGTCAAAGTCAAGTCAAGCGGCCATAAAAATTTTCTCCGTGTAATTATGACTTCGTGCACCAAAAGGCCGTCCATTAGACTTACTATGTGTACTTTATACAGATCGTAAAATGGAATTGTGAAGTATAAAATGAAAGGGTTGTATTGACTGGTAACAATTTGCATTTTTTTTTCTTCCTTCCACCACTTCTTCAAATTCCAGTTTGTTTCTTTTACCATATATTATTTCCTTTTCGTTGACACATGACGGAATTCGTTGATAGATCATTCAAACCTCTCAAAACCATCAAGTATCGTTCAAGTGATATCTATCTGCCGAACTGAAATTTTTTACAGTGTATCATACACGTATTTATGATACTTCTTGAAATTGATATGAAACTCCGTATTCTTTAGTGTATCTTTCAACTCTTTCGAAATTGAATCATTACTGTTCCTCCTCATGCACCTTGTGTAACAACAAGTTTAGATACGTTAGAATGACCACAAACAGCAAAAAACCTCGATCGCTACGATTCTGCAGCCAACCCGATGATAGTATAGGGTTAAATGGTTCTAATGTCATTGATTAACCAATAAATTATAGATCGTTATTTATAAGGGCTCTGGTTGATATTAACATGAGTACTTGAATGGTTCTCATGTCCTTTCTTAGTACTAATAACCTTTCTAGTGGTAGATTCCTGTTCAAACACCAATAAGAAAATGCTCTACCCGTCGACGGTTCTATTGAAGTGGTTCACCGTTTTTTTCTTCTTCTTCTTCTATAATACCATAATTTTATCGTAACAAGTTAATTGTGTCATCTGGGCCATCATTTTTTCCAAAAGAGCTACATGTGTCATCGAATCACGATGATAGAAAACAATCCACCCGGCACACGCACACCAGCAAAGGGGTGAAGGAAAGTACAGAGAGAACAATGTGAAACCGGAAGAGGCATCCAAACTTTTTGTTGAACACGTCTACAAAAGAGGTCGTTTGCTTGAGGGTTTTGGTGATGGATTTGGTCATGGAAATATATCCATCATGGACTTGAACCGAAATCCATCGTTTGCCTTAGGGAATTAGGAAGATGGAATTTGTGGGGCCCACCTCTTTTGGAGTTCCAAATCCGTGGACCCCACGGACTTTGAAGTTCCACCTCTTGAGGTGGGATTTGGGTGATGGATTAAAATCCATGATGGTAAATTACCATTCTACTCTTAATTATTTCTTTAATAAAATTTTCCTACTTTAATTCAATGGTCATGCAACTATAAACTTTTATAATTTCGTATTTTATAAATATGAGAATTTATCATTTCGTTTTGTAATATCGTATTTTATTTAAATATGAATGTATATGTGATTTGTTAGATTCACCTAAAAACACTTTATGCTCATCTTGTGCATTATTATTTGATTGACTGTCGGATTCCACATCGGTGTGTTAGCAAGAAGATGATGAGTTGTAGCAATAAAGCGAGCAATTGGTTGCAGTTGATACATAATAATGCGTACATTATTAGATGAATTGTTAATTAGTGCCAAATTGTAATACATTTCTATATTTGTAGTTGAATTATTAATCCACATAGTGGTAAAGAGTTTAAAATTTCTTTCTATGTTTTGGATTAGTTTTAAATGAAAGATTTGGATTATAATATAGAAATATAATTAAATAAGGATAACAAGGTAATTTGTATTTAATATCCACAAATCTAATCAAACAAAGTCCATAATCAAATCCATCAAGCAAACAATAGATTTGTTCAAATCCATAATACCACACAATCCATCATATATCCATGGTTTTCCAAAACCCAAGTTTTACCAAAACCCTCATTTTTCAAATCCATGAAGCAAACGACCCGGTAGTGTAATGAACAATTTCAATATTGGAGGCTTTCGAAATTCTACATGATTTTCTTTGAACATTTTCCATTTTCTCCTCTACCAAATTTCATTTTCTTGTTGGTGGCACTATTCACTTTTTATCCCCCACAAAAGGGTTGATGATGTCTTATGTCTATCCCCCACTCCCTCCACGCACTCAAATTTCCAAAACCAACAACCCACCCAACCCAACCTTCTTCTTCTATAAATAGCTCCTCTCCCTACTCTCCCCTTCCTTCATTCACACAACACTCTTTTCAATTCAATCTACCCTTTCTCACCATGGGAAACCTTCACCTCCTCCTCATCGCCGCCGTCGCCATACTCGCAGCCACCGCAGCCCTCCCGGCAAACGCCGCCGTGGCCGACATCGTCACCCCGGCCTTCTTCAACGGCATCAAGAACCAAGCACCCAACAGCTGCGCCGGGAAGAACTTCTATACACGTGAAGCCTTTCTGCAAGCCGCAAACGCCTACCCCAACTTCGGCAACCGAGGATCTCTCCCCGGTTCGAAGCGCGAGATCGCGGCCTTCTTCGCCCACGTCACCCACGAAACCGGAAGTACGTAACGTAATTAATTAACTCTCTCCCAACAACTATTTTTTTAGTAACGTACGACTTACTTATTCGGTAACATTTTTTCGAAATATTTTTTCGTACGATACGACAGGCATGTGTTACGTGGAGGAAATCAACCGCGCGACTTACTGCGACCCGAGCCAGTACCCGTGCGCTCCGGGGAAGAAATACTACGGCCGCGGGCCCCTTCAGCTGACGTGGAACTACAACTACGCGGTTTGCGGGCGGGCCAACAACTTTAACGGCGTCGGGGACCCGGACGTCGTGGCGAGGGACCCGGTGCTGGCGTGGAAGACGGCGTTGTGGTTTTGGATGACAAATGTACGCCCCGTCCTGCCGCAAGGGTTCGGAGCTACCATCCGGAAGATTAACGGGATCGAATGTAACGGCGGAAACGCGCCCGCCGTCAGGGCTCGGGTCAGCTACTACAACTCCTACTGTCAGAAGTTTGGGATCCAGCCAGAGGCTAACACCAGCTGTTAAGCGCGCGGCCACCAGGGCCGGGCCAAGTGAATATAAAATAAATATAGCTAGTATCGAACAAATATAATAATATGGTGTAATATTTGTTCTATGTAATACTTTCAGCTTCCTGCTTCCTGAAATTGTAGCAGTTGAATCTACTACGAGTTTGTTAAGGAAGTAGAATAAATAAAATAAACGTTAAGAGGTTTCATCTCTTGTCTTCTCCTAAATAGCAAGCAGTTTCAAATAGTCAAAGCACCGGCGCCAACTAAACACTTGGTAGAAGAAAACAAGGAGTTTAATACAAAAACAATACATCATTTTTTACTATTTACGAATATAGCAAGTTGTTTTTCAACTTGTAAATATAGCACGGAAAGTAAGCAGCGGTTAGTGGTGGTTTAGGTTGCCACTTACTGGCGGAACTTGAAGATGTGCTCACGGTTAACCGCCGTAACCGCTGCTGATCCCTTCCCTGAGCAGAACGCTGCGTTTAGTCGGGAGGGTCGACTGAAGGAAGAATATATGTTTATCAATTTTAACTTTCGGTGCTATATTTATCAATTTCCTGAGAGCTTTCTTTGTCACAAAATGCGAAAGAAGAATATCGTTAACAACAGATACATGGACTTATGTACAAAATGCAAACTCTATACATTTGTGACTGCTCACTAGTAAAGATTTGAAGTTGGTGAAGAAGATCATATGCTTTGTTGAGGTGACTAGCAATACTGGAGTTGATATAGCATAGACATTGTGTACTTGTCTAGATGGGTGGAAGATCAAGAATTTGTGTTGCATCACAATGGATATTGCTAGTGCGAATGATGTTGTGGCTGATTGCATGATAGATAAGATGCATGAGTGGGGGACGAATTTGTTGAATGGGAGTTACTTTTATTTCCGCTGCGTTGCTCACATCATCAATTTAGTTGTCACTGATGGCTTGAAAGAAGTAGGGATTTCAGTTGAAAGGGTTCGCGATGTGGTGAAGTGGGTCAAGTCATCCCCCTCAAGGCTTTTCATATTTAAGGCTGCTGCTGGTTATATTGGGATTGAGACGAAGAGGCTTGTGTGTTTGGATGTTCCAACAAGGTGGAACTCCACCTACTTCATGTTAGAGTCTGCAGAAAGATTTGAGAAAGTATTTACTTTCTTATACCAACAAGATGAGAGCTTCAAGAAAGTACATGGACTTGAAGAGGGGTGTGCCAACATAAGAAGATTTGAGTAGTGTGAGAAGGCTGATGAAGTTCTTGAAGTTTTTTTGTGATTTGACTGCGCGTGTATCTAGTATGTTATTCTAATTCCTTAAACTAAAAGTTCCTTTTTCTTATTACTTCAATTTAGATTATACATACTAACTATTTACTAATATCTATTCTCCTGAAGTCTTTTGTGGTTTCAGGAACATTATATGTGACTGTGAATCTATTCTTCAAATATCTTGTAGATATTTATGAGGTCATAACCACATTGGAGCAAGATGAAGATGCCGAGATACGACGCATGTCAGTGAGGATTTAGGCGAAGGTTGAAAAATATTGGTACGAGGAGAATATAAGGATGAACTGTGTGATCTACATAGCATGTGTGCTAGATCCAAGGCACAAGTTGGCCTATGTTGAATTTGTCTTGAAGCAGATGTATGGCCAAGCGATTGGGAAAGCAATGACTAAGGATATTAAGGAAGAGATGGGTAAGTTGTTTGAAGTTACAAGATGAAGTTCCTGCCTCCACCTTCAAGTGAGGCTGCTGTTGGGACTAATATTGGTGTAGGAGCTACGTATGTTACCACGACAGCCCCCAGTGGGAGTTCGAGTAATGGTGTTGTGATGTGAGGGAAGATGACTTCTGAGTTCAAATGGAAGAGGAAAGAAGAGCTTGATGTTGGTATTCGAAGTTCTTTAGAGTTAGACATCTATCTGAACGATGTGAATGATGTCGTTCTTTTCGATGACGAAGATGATAGGTTTGATATCCTCAAATGGTGGTCCGTCAGCAATTATATATCTCGTGCTTTTTGAAATTGTGCGGGATATTTTGGCTATTCTTATTTCTTCTGTGCCACCGAGTATGCTTTCAGCACAGGAGGTCGGGTGTTATCCCTATTTAGGTCCTCTTTGACCCGGAAGATGGTGGAGGCATTAATCTATGCAAAAGATTGGATACGGTTCCCGAATTCCCAATTGATTGATGATGAAGAGGATCCCGAATAGCTAATTGAGTTTGAAAGTGGTAAGATATCAATTCTTCCTTCTCACTATGCTTTTAGTTTTCATATTTGACAATTTCTCTTTTGTGTTCTTTCTCATTATGATTTTCATGTAGTTTATGATGCTTTAAAAGCTAGAATGAACAGTCAAAGTGGGAGTGACCTTGATGGTAGAAGTCAAAGTCTTCCTGTTGATCCTACTCCTACGCCTACCCCCACATTTGATGTTGATGTACTTGACGCACCTGTTAATTATGATTTTGATGTCAATCCTCACTAGGAGAATGAAGATCTTGGAGTAAATGATGATTATGGGCTAGATGAAAGGTTTGGAAATACTTACGATGAGAAGGTGCATAATAATAGGTGCTTGATGCTTATTTATTGCGTTGGCCACATAAAAAGAAAATAGAAAAGAAAATTATAACTTTTCATTGCATTGCCATCCGTGATTAAGGCTTGGGCCGCTGGCATTAATTTTTTTTGTTTTCATTTTTTCTGATTTAGCTATAGTTTTCCTAGGCCATTCTCAAGCCCATAAATTCATAATCATGATATTTGGTGGAGGCCCCCTATTTGGCAGAGGCCTTGTGCTGAAGGACCTGTTGCAAGGTTGTCAACCCGCGGATTGACCCACGGGTCGACCCAATTTGACCCTGACTCGGTAAGAAAACGGGCCGCACGCTCCCGCCGGGCCGACCGCTATTAGGTACCGGGTTGGAGGTCAAATTGTGTCATTTTTTTTTCTTTAGTTTGCGAAATGCGCCTATTTTCCAATTTTTCTTTTCGCCTAACTCAATCTTTGGAATACTAAGTTGAACATTTGAATATTTATGTTATATAAGTGTGTGAATTTTCACTATCTGTTGGATCTAAGTACGATATGTTATTTTGGTGTAATATTATATGTTATAACTCATATGTTAGATAAGATTTAATATAATTTATAAAGATAAGTACAATATAATGACTCTTTCTATATTTCCGGGCCAAACCGGACTAAAACGGTTGACCCATTAACCCTTCACCCACTAACTCGATCGGGTCCGGGTCAACCCGCGGGTTGACAACCTTGGCCTGTTGGCACATGCTCAGGGCCTGGCCTGGAGAGTAGTTAGAAGCCATTTGAACACAAAGGTACGGTATAGAAACACTAATTATCTCATTTTTTAATTTTCAATGGATGTTTAAAACAGTTTGTAAATGTCGTGTTTGCCCTTTTTTTGCATTCTACATCCCATCTCTCTATATTAATCTAATGACTGACATGGATTCAAGAAACCTCTCAAGCCTTTCCCTTAAGAATCAAATGTGAACTCTCTTGTTGAGTTTTACCTCCCATCTCCCTAGATTAATTAATCCGCCAGTTATGACAACACAGTCCATAGAAATAAACAACTACAATGCTCTCTTTTGGATGATGAGTACCTACAACTTTTGTGCAATAATTGGCATAAAACAACGAGCATGAAAAAAGACAAGATCAGGCATCGTCAAATTCGAGTCCCAAGTCCCAATCACTCTATATAAGTTGCCGAGTAATACCGCCTCTAGAATTCATCATCTTACAATATCCTCTACCATTGTGCCACTCTTCTCCTTCTCCTTCTTCTTCTTCTTCCATTGCTGAATTCCAGCATGGGGAAGATTCAACTACCGGCAATAATCCACGTCGTAGCCGTACTTGTATCGGCGATAGTCATAACTATTCCGGCAACCGTCGTGGTGGCTGTCCCGTTAGGCCGCCTTGTCACGCCGGAATTCTTCAACAATATTCGCAACAAAGCCGGCTCCAACTGCAAGGGAAAGCATTTCTACACCCGGAGGGCGTTTCTCAAGGCTGCAAAGTCCTACCCTCGTTTCGGTCACCTCGATTCCGTCGAGGAATCCAAGCGCGAGATTGCGGCCTTCTTCGCCCATGTCTCCCACGAGACCGGAGGTAATGTTGAAATTAAAGTTTAATTAATAAATAAAAAAAGACCATTCAGGAAACTAGCTACGTGTGTGGTGCTAGTATGAAAAAAAATCAGAAGTGTATGGAAGTATGTAGAAAATGATTTAAATGTGTTAGGTGTTAGTTGTGGCATAAAGAAATCAAGAAAATTAAGAGCCACATAGGTAAGTCGGTTAGGCTAGATATTTGTGCTTTGTAATGCCTATAAATAGGCTTGGTTGGATGTGTCAGAGAGTAGAGCAAGAGCAAAAGAAAAGAAAGAAGCCAATAAAGAAAGTGCTCCCTTTCTCAAACTCTCTCTGCCACCTAGTCTTCCATCAAAATTCCTCCACCATTTCCAAATTAGAAAAACCCACCAAAAAATAATTTCCCTTCCCTAAACGTGTCCACCAAAATAGTTAAAAGGAAATAATTATATTATTTCCAACAAAGTGGTATCAGAGCCCGAGTTATTCTTAAGTATGCTCTGTGGTTGCAGCGTAGTCTGAACTTCCACATCAGAAAAGAATTTCTCGTGTTTTTGTTATCACAATTTTCCTATGGCCGAAAAATCCACTTTCCCCATTCAATTCCCCCACCTTACCAAAACCAATTATAAAAATTGGTGCATTCGTATGAAAGCCTTGCTTGGATCCCAAGATGCTTGGGATATTGTCGAAAAAGGCTATGAGATTCCCGTGGAGGATTCTCGGTTATCTCCTACTGAAAAGGAGATATTGAGAAAAAATAAAAAGAGTGATCAAAAAGCACTCACTCTCATTCATCAGTGTCTTGATGAATCGATGTTCGATCAAATAGCAGATGCTACCACAGCAAAGGAAGCATGGGAGATTCTACAAAAGGAAATGCAAGGCGTGGAACCAGTGAAGAAGGTTCGACTTCAGACACTCAGGGGAGATTTTGAAGCTATTAAAATGAAGGAAGGTGAATCTGTTTCAGATTACACTGCTCGTGTGAAGTCAGTCGTCAGCAAACTGAAACAGTATGGGGAGAAAATTGAAGAGACCAAAGTGGTGGAGAAAATTTTAAGGTCATTATTACCGAAGTTCGATTATGTGGTGGTGGCCATGGAGGAAGCTAAGGACGTGTCAAAAATGACGGTGGATGAAGTTATCGGTTCACTGCAAGCACGGGAGGAAAGATTAAATAAGAGAAATGAAGAATCGTCAGAGCAAGTGTTAGCTACAAAAGCTACCACTGAGGAGAAAGAAGGTGCTCGAGGAGGAAGTCAGTACAGAGGTCGAGGCAGAGGCAACTACAGAGGCAGAGGAAGAGGAAGAGCTCGAGGAGCATATCAAAGCAGAGATGGAGGAAATTTCACCACGAACAATTATGAAACGTCCACCAGAGGCAGAGGTCGTGGTCGTGGACGTGGAAGAGGAAGTTGGAGATCAAATGAAGGTCGTGATAAATCCAACATCCAGTGCTATAATTGCTCGAAGTACGGGCATTATGCATCGGAATGTTGGAGTCCGCCTAAAGAAGTGGAGGAGACAGCAAACAACGTGCAAGAAGAAGAAGTCAGAGGCACATTGATGCTGTCACATCAAGGAGATGAGAAACCGAAAGACAACATGTGGTATCTGGATAATGCAGCAAGCAACCACATGTGCGGTAAAAGAAGCATGTTCGTGGATATGGATGAATCGGTGAAAGGAAATGTCGTATTTGGAGACTCCTCGAAAGTTCCTATCAAAGGCAGAGGAACTATACTCATCCGGCTCAAGAATGGCTCACAGCAATCTATCAGTGATGTGTACTATGTCCCAGACATGACTAGTAACATCCTGAGTTTGGGTCAGCTGATGGAGAAGAATTATGAAGTCCATATGGTGAATCGTCAATTGGAGCTGTTGAACGAGAAAAAGCAGTTGTTGGCCAGAGTCCCAATGTCGAGAAATAGAATGTTCACCCTGAACATTCAGACAGAAATGGCGAAATGTTTGAAAGCATGCGTGAAGGACACTACATGGCTATGGCATCTAAGGTATGGCCATCTAAATTTTGGAGGCCTAAAGTTACTCGGTCAGAAGAAGATGGTGCATGGTCTGCCAGTGATCAATCATCCAGACCAATTGTGTGAAGGATGCTTAGTTGGAAAGCAATTCAGGGCAAGTTTCCCGAAGGAGTCCCTGTCACGAGCTAAATCACCACTTGAGCTCGTCCATGCAGATCTTTGTGGACCGATCACCCCAACATCGTTCGGGAAGAACAAATACTTCCTATTGTTCATTGACGACTACAGTAGAAAGACATGGGTATACTTCTTGAAGCAGAAGTCAGATACATTTGAAGCATTTAAGAAGTTCAAGATGATGGTGGAGAATGAAAGTGGCCGCTACATCAAAGCAATGAGATCAGATAGAGGTGGAGAATTTATGCTCAAGAAATTCAGAAGGTTCTGTGAATATCAAGGAATTCGCAGGTTTCTCACAGTCCCAAGATCCCCACAGCAGAATGGAGTCGTTGAGAGGAAGAACAGAACTGTCCTCAACATGGCGAGAAGCATGATGAAGAGCAAGAACCTGCCAAAGGAGCTATGGGCTGAAGCTGTTGATTGTGCAGTCTACTTGCTGAACAGGTCACCAACAAAGAGTGTTTGGAATCAAACACCCCAAGAAGCATGGAGCGGAAGGAAACCCACAATCTCTCATCTCCGAGTCTTCGGAAGTGTCGGATATGTGCACGTACCGGATCAAGAAAGGAAGAAGTTGGATGACAAAAGCAAGAAGTACATATTCCTGGGATACTCAGAACACTCAAAAGGTTACAAAATGTTTGATCCCGTGGAAGAGAAGCTGATCATCAGCAGAGACGTGGTAGTTGATGAAAAAGCAACATGGGATTGGACTGCTGAAGCAAAGAAGAATTACACTTTTTATCCATTCACTATGGATGAAAGTGATGAGGAACCAGATACAGCTACACCTGTGACAAGTCCACCCAGTCACAGAGAGCCTGCTAGCCCAGAAGGAGAATCAAGTGAAAGTCCGAAAGAAAGGCCACAGAAGTATAGAAGACTTGAAGATCTATATGAGGAAACTACAACCATTGAAGGTGATGAATTGACACTATACTGTCATTTCATTGATGATGAACCAGTGGATGCTGAAGAAGCCATGAAGGATGAAAAATGGAAGAAAGCTATGGATGAAGAAATTGGAGCAATTGTGAAGAACAAGACTTGGGAGCTTGTGTCGCTACCTGAGAACCAGAAGCCCATCGGTGTGAAGTGGGTATTCAAGGCAAAGAAAAATGCTAAAGGAGAAGTTGTCAGGCACAAAGCAAGATTGGTGGCTAAAGGATATAGTCAGAGGCCAGGCATTGACTATAATGAAGTTTTTGCTCCCGTGGCGAGAATGGAAAGTATCAGGATGGTGATATCTCTCGCTGCTCAAAATGGATGGAAGATACATCAGATGGATGTGAAGTCAGCTTTTCTGAATGGATATCTCGAGGAAGATATTTATATTGAGCAACCCCCTGGATATATCGTCGAAGGCCAAGAAGATAAGGTGTTGAAGCTGAAAAAGGCACTGTATGGTCTGAAACAAGCACCGAGAGCGTGGAATAGCAGAATTGACAAGTATTTTCAGGAAAATGGGTTCAGCAAATGCCCACATGAGCATGCACTATACTGCAAGGTGCAAGGGGGAGCAATATTGATGGTTTGCCTATATGTAGATGATCTCATTTTCACAGGCAATGATCCTCAAATGTTTGAAGAGTTCAAGAAGACGATGGTTCGTGAGTTCGAGATGACAGACATCGGACTAATGTCATACTATCTCGGAATAGAAGTAAGCCAAAAGGAGGAAGGAATTTTCATCTCACAGAGTGGCTTCGCAAAGGAGGTCCTGAAGACGTTTAAGATGGAGAGCTGTAATCCTGTGAGCACACCAGCAGAGTGCGGACTAAAATTATCCAAGGATGACAAAGGAGAGAAGGTCAACTCAACGGAGTTTAGAAGCCTGGTGGGAAGTCTGAGATACCTGACTTGTACCAGACCAGATATTCTCTACGCAGTCGGATTAGTCAGCAGATACATGGAGGCGCCAACTATGTCACACTGGAACGCTGCCAAGAGGATATTGCGCTATATAAAAGGTACAATCGATCATGGTTTGCTCTATACTAAGTCAGAAAATTTCAAATTGGTTGGATACTGCGATAGTGATTGGGCAGGAGACGTGGATGATCGCAAGAGCACTACAGGATTTGTATTTTTCATGGGAGATACAGCTTTCACATGGAGTTCAAAGAAGCAAGCTATCGTAACACTATCTACTTGTGAAGCTGAGTATGTTGCTGCGACATCGTGTGCGTGTCATGCGATATGGTTGAGAAAGTTGTTGAAGGAGTTAAACATGACACAGGAAGAGTCAACTGAGATTTATGTTGATAATAAGTCTGCCCTGGCGTTAGCAAAGAATCCGGTGTTTCATGATCGCAGTAAGCACATCGATACGAGATATCATTTCTTGAGAGAATGCGTGGAGCAGAAAGAAGTGACGCTGAAGTATGTGAAAACTGAAGACCAAATTGCTGATATTTTCACGAAGCCGCTGAAGCAAAATGTGTTCGTCAAACTGAGGATGCTACTCGGAGTTACAACGAATTAAACTTTAAGGGGGAGTGTTGAAATTAAAGTTTAATTAATAAATAAAAAAAGACCATTCAGGAAACTAGCTACGTGTGTGGTGCTAGTATGAAAAAAAATCAGAAGTGTATGGAAGTATGTAGAAAATGATTTAAATGTGTTAGGTGTTAGTTGTGGCATAAAGAAATCAAGAAAATTAAGAGCCACATAGGTAAGTCGGTTAGGCTAGATATTTGTGCTTTGTAATGCCTATAAATAGGCTTGGTTGGATGTGTCAGAGAGTAGAGCAAGAGCAAAAGAAAAGAAAGAAGCCAATAAAGAAAGTGCTCCCTTTCTCAAACTCTCTCTGCCACCTAGTCTTCCATCAAAATTCCTCCACCATTTCCAAATTAGAAAAACCCACCAAAAAATAATTTCCCTTCCCTAAACGTGTCCACCAAAATAGTTAAAAGGAAATAATTATATTATTTCCAACAGGTAATTCATTATTTCACTCACCCTGCTTTTTCCCCCACCTTTCACTATTTGGTACGACGTTTTTTTTTTTTTTTTTTTTTTTGAGTTCTTGGTTGTGCAAACTGGCTGGGCGGTGCGGGTAACTCTATACCCATGCTCCGATCCAATGCTATTTGAAAAAAAATACATGTAAAATTTATTTTTTACAATAAGACGAAATGAAAAACACTTCTCATGAATGAAAAATAGTGATTGTGGAATGAGTAATTGAGTCTCGGACTATTGGAAAGATCGATTCTAACTAGTTAAAGAAAAGTCAAAATAGGAGAATCATGTATAGATACTTTAAGAAATTGAGATAGAATGGGCCAAGAACGGGGCGGGCTGGGCAGGGTGGATCGGAAATAAATACCCATGCCCCGCCCCCACGCTACTGCTGGTCGGGTAATACCTGCCCCATCGCAGATCAGGTCGGGTAATACCCGCGGGACGGGTTCAAATTAGCCATCGCTATGTGCAACAGTCGGTCCGTACCGAACTGCATCGTATGAAACTGATGCTTGAACCGGACTGTACTGAATCGAGCATAACATGTCCGATCCTTGGTCTCATGAATATGGACATTTAAACAGGACCAAAAAAATGAACCAAATGTCCGGTCTTTGATCTATATTAATATCTTACTATTGGACTGTGATTCTCCTCAACCCTATGTGTTCTATAATCTGATCTGACCTATTTGATTCTGCTTCTTGTTGTTTCAGACCTATGCTACACGGAAGAAATAGAACGAGGGACGTACTGCGACTCGTCGGCGGTAGCGAACCCGTGCGCTCCGGGGAGACAGTACTACGGCCGGGGCCCACTGCAGCTGTCGTGGAACTACAACTACGGGGAGTGCGGGAAGGCGAATGGGTTCGACGGGCTGAGGAACCCGGACATCGTGGCCAAGGATCCGGTGGTGACGTGGAAGTCGGCGCTGTGGTTCTGGTCGACGAGCGTCCGTCCGACGGAGAGAAAAGGGTTCGGGGAGACGATCCACAAGATCAACGGGATGGAGTGCAACCACGGCAACACGGATGAAGTGGAGGATCGGGTCAGGTATTATAGAGAGTACTGCAAGCAGTTGGGCGTCAGCCCTGGAAATAATATCAGGTGTTGAGATCATTGATTATTGTTGTTCAATGTTTTTTTTTTTTTTTGTGAGCAGCTGGCTGATGAGACGAAAATGATTTCGTGTCTTTTTTGGTGGGACAATCAAATAGGCTATATTAACATGAATGATTGATTTTATATATGCAAGTTGGTAAATTACTTAATTCATACTCAAATTTATTATTCTCCTCCTCTTTTTAACTTACTTGACTCCAACTTGGCCTGCATTTCTTGTACGTATATCAACTAATACGTACAAGATCCTATTCGTAGTTAATTGATATACAATCGAAATGAAATCGACACATATGTTTACCGCGGTTTAACGAAACTAGTCGAAGGCTGAAACTACTTTTTACTCCTATTCAACTTAACTTTAATTAGCAGATCGTCATGTTTACATATATATATATATATATATATACAGTTTGTAGCCAAGAACCCTAGCTAAGCTGACCGCGATCAGACAAGCCGAGTTTTCCGTACAACTACGGTTGTTGCGTGGATACATATACAATTGTCATGATGGCTATTTTCGTACGGACTCATAACTCAACAACCTCCTCTCAAATTGATGGGGATCTTGGATCATCAATTTGTCAGCTAGATAGGAGTGTCGACGGGCAAGAAATGCTTCGGTGCAATCTTATCCTCAGATGTAACATGATGAACTCGAACAGTACCATCACCACCAACCAAGTTTTTGAACGTATAACAGTCCAACTTCTTGTTTTCTCTCAATTTTGGGTTTTTGCATATCTGGTTAGTGGTTAGATGTAGGGGTGTCCATTTGGGCTAGGTTTTTCGGGTTTACCTGAAACCGACCCGATTATATATATTTTCGGTTTTTCGGGTTTGAGTACGTTTCGGGTTTTGGATTTTTCGGTTTTGGGTTCGGTTTTTCGGGTTTCGACTAAAACCTCCAATGAATAGAACTCAACCCGTATTTTTAGGCGTTCGGGTTTTCGGATTTCGGTTTTGCTTTAACCGAACCCGAACCCAATAAGGAATTTTCGGGTTTTGGCCCTTTTGGGTAACCGGAACCCGCAAATCCTTATCGGGTTCGGGTTCGGGTTCGATTTCGGTTTTAGTGATTTTTTGTTTCGAGTTTTCAGATTTCGGTTTGGGTAACCGAACTCGACCTGAACTGACACTACTAGTTAGATGGATGCGAAATTTACGTCTGGGCCAACTGAACTGACCTTACTTGGGCATACTACACACACTACACAAAAATCTATTAAGCCTAGCCAGCTAGGCAAGCAATGGCTTGTGTGTAGAGGTGGCAAATGGATTGGATTGGTGGATTGGTGGATCCATGGATCAAATGGATTGGATCTAATGGATTGGTGGATTCATGGATTGGATCAAGTGGATTGGTGGATTATCCATAAATCCAAATGACATCCTCAACCAAGGACCAATATGTAAAATGTAAAAAGTTTAGGTACTAAAATGTCACAATGAAAAATTTTAGGTACCAAAACGTAATTTTCCAATGATATTTTCGTATAAAAAATAAAATTTTAGGTACCAAAATGTAAAAAATAAAAATTATAGGTACTAAACTGTAATTTGCCAATGATCCATGGATCCAATCCATGAATCCACCAATCCAATTGGATTTGGATCAAATGGATTGGATTAGATGGATATTTTTAATGGATTGATGGATTGGTGGATTGGATTGAAATTGCCACCTCTACTTGTGTGTGTATATGACTGGGCCTAAGGCCCAACGAGTAGGAAATAAGCATCGAAGTTGAACCCCGATAATCTGCGCCACATTCAGCCGGCCCGTGAGATTTGAATTAGACAAGTCAACCACGGAACTAATTAATGCTTCTTTTTAATTAATCACTTAGATAAGAACGAGCCATCAATTGGTAAAAAAAAGCATCAAGCCGTTGACTGCCAGATTGCCCCCGCCCCGGCCCTTTCGTGGGTGCATGCCCCATGCGCTGACAAGATGCCCGTTGATTAAGCCTAATAATACGAGGAATCAGGCCACCTATATCGTAATTGCTTGCTGCTATATATGTTCTGTAAGTATTTGACTAATTCTATATCATGATAAGTGCAAGAAAGAAATTCTCGATTAAGATATTATTATACGTATAGCAACATATAGTTTAACAGTGTTGACCGTTAGAAATTATTATCCTGGCCTCAAGTATACACCATATAAACTAATTTGACCCGACTCGTGAATTTCCATTAAATTAGATGGTTAACAGTGTTGACCGTTAGTGAATCAGCATGGTTTGCTGATGTAGATGCCATGCATACATTAAAAATTAATAAACTAATTTATCTTATACTTTCATAATTATTGGAAATGAAGAAATTTATTTAAAAAAATATGTGGTCGTCCAAACCCCACGCCGCCGTCGCAACCCTCGTATGCTTTCCCCGCCGTGGGCGAAAGACAAAGTTTTGATTCCGATGTCTCTGAGCGCGAGGTGGACGTTTCGTATGACTGGCAACAGGGACAAGATCTAAGAGACGGTGGCGGCATCGTTGCCGACAGAGATTATGATGATCTTGGAGCGTGGATAGAAAGGGAGGACATGGACGTAGAGCTACTCGACGGACAGAGTGCAAGATTCAGGGAGGTGTTGGTGAAGTCGAAGGCTCCGATCAGTAGCGGACCCAGGATTATTGAAGAGGGGTGTCGCCGATAAAAAATTATAATTAATTAAATAATTAAATAATAAATAATGGAGAAGTAAGAGAGTAGCAAAGGAAAGTTTGCATAGACAATGTTCACCCAGGTCTCCTAGTTACGTGCCCTCGATTATCGGAGCATACGAGCCACCGATTTCTTATTTCGTTAGATCTAACCTTGCGTCGAAGTATTAACCCGAACTAATAGGAGACAAGGACCCTTTGGATTTCTCCCTTGAGGCGTCACGTCGTTTGATTGAATGAGGTTCGATCGAGTAGTACTGCTATTTCTAGACTCATCCTAAATTACTAGAATTTCGATCCTTGCACCTCGAAGTAGGGCAAGATCGACTAAGCAATCATTCGAATCAATAAATAACAAAATAGAGGAAATCAAGCATCACACTTATGAAAATCAAAAAATCATATTAAACCAAATCATTAAGTTTACATGGACCTACGTAACTAAGGAACTTAGCTAGCCATGAGGAGGGGTTCATGGGTGTTCATCGTTGAAAATGAAGACTCCATGAGGCACAAGACGATAAGTAGCTGTAACAGAGAAAACAGGCCCTTAGGGCGCTGTTTTGGCTGTCAATTCTCCCTCGTAGGGTAGATTCATTCTAATTCAGGAGTGTTGCTTTGTCAGCAGAGTAACGACCCATCCTTCACCTCTTGTTTCCTCCTCTAAAACTCTAACTCTAGAGCCCTATTTATAGATCTTCAATTGGACTTTCTAAGGAGTTAAACTCGCCTCCCTTCCGTCATTCGGCCAATCAGAACGCTCCAAACACGTGATCAACGAATCTTGATGCTCCGAGATAACTTCCTGACGAAGTGGACGAACTCCCTAAAAAGACATTGTGAATGGTGCTCCGAGCGTCGTTTTGCTTAGGCGTTCGGTCTTCTAATCCTTGATTCAGAAACTTGCGATGTCCTCTAAGGCTTCCAAGTGGTCCACTAGACTGCTTTGCCCTGAAAATACACACTACCAAAAGCGTATCAATCGTATAGAGCAATCCTAGCGTTGCTAGAATATACTTGAAACAAGCATAGCAATAATTCAATATATTATGACCCATTTGATGAGAAATATATGCACTTTGGGTCACAATACGAGGTCTAGAATATATGCTTTCATGGGTCATCATATCACCTAGGGGTGGCTATACGGTCCGATTAAATTGGCCCGAATTGATCTTGTTTTGGTTCGGTCTTTTCGATAATATAAGGACCAAGATTGGATTGGATACAATCCAGTCTTGATCTGGTCGGGTCTTGACCCGGTCCGGTCCCAATTCGGTTTTGTTTTTAGATTGAGGTTGTAGGGATTTGAGTGGCCAGAGGCCTCAAAGGGTGAGGAGTTAGTTAAGTTTTGGGTGTTGAGCTCTCTTATCGGGGTCTTTATCCGGTTTTCGATCCGATCCCAAAAGGTTTTTTTTATCTTAAACCTATGCCCAAAGATGAGATTGTATTGTTTGCTATCCAGTTTTGGTCCAATCCCGATCCGGTTTCAGGTAAAACCAAAAAGTCCGGACCAAATAGTCAGCCCTAATATCACCTAGGAGTTTTTTTTTATAGTTTTGATGTATTTTTTAGTAGTTTTACATAATCTTGGGTTTAGGCACAATAAATGCTGAATTTAGGGTCAGAAAATGATGTGAAAGTTTTCCTTCTATCTTTTGCCATTTTCCCCTTTCGAATTCGCGAAAGGGTTGGTGTCAACCCGTGATGGTCTGGCCCCATAGTTGATTATAGTCTCTCATGGTAGGCCTCCATGGGTGGATTTGTTACGTTAAACTTTATTTTTGCATGATGTTTGTGTCCTTTAGGAATGAGTTCAGAAACTGTATAATCCAAGCAGCACTTTGGAGAAATAATGAAAAGCCATCTTGTATATAAGTGTCCATGTAATCTGATGATGATCAGCATGAGGTTATTTTAGAAAGTGTCCAAAAGTAAATCGGTATAAACTTGATCCAAAAAATACAATATCATACTATTAAAGACTATCCGTTCTTCTAAATGTCTAATTCCATTTCAATTATTTTTTAATAAATTATCGGACATATCTTTTAGCATGAACAATGAATATAATGATGGTATTGCTACATATATACGAGACGACTAAGACTTGGTTGATCAATATCCGTGTCGTGAAATCTTTGATTCATCCTTAAAAAAATAAAGAACGAAGCTTCTCAAGAAATATTGTGACCGTGTAAAACTTGATCTTTAAGTAAATTAAGATAAAGTTCCTGAAGACTTTGACTTACATGCCCTTACGCAGGACAAATTCCTTTCAGTCGGTATGTAGGGCAAACTCCCATTGTCATAGGA